TTGCTTTGCTGGCGAAATGAGTTCTACAAAAGCGCACATCACGTCCATCTCCAGTCTTCTCGTCAAAAGTCTCGCCGATCTTAAATTTCGTCACGTAGGTCTTGAAAGTTGATACCGATGTCATCGTGATGTAGTCACCTTCTTTTACAAACTCAAGTGTCGGCTTCAAATTAGCTGCTATTTTACGTGTCATCAGACCGACACCAGCCTGAATAAAAATATCTCTTTCCAAGAGAATATCTTAATTCACGAGAAAACAAACAAAAAAATCATAAGTCAGCTCTCTTCTACCGTCGAAGAAGAAAAAAAAACCTTCATGTGATCAATCCAATTAGCAGAAATCAAAGAAAAATAATCTGATAGATTAATGACTGCGTCAGTTACCTTGTTGCCATTTTCATGGAACTCTATTAACAAAAAACGACTCTAAATTTCAATTATTCCTGTACCGTTGGTCACACAAACACAGTTCCAGTGAAAAGAGGGAAAATGATGATCTCTATAACCATTAAACTTCTTTTGTAAAAAGATTTCCACTGATATAAGATTTTTTGAAAAGATTTGCTGTACTAATCCAAATGAAACAATACACTATAATCTAGAGTGTAGAACATAAGCTTAATTGACTTTTTTTTGGAAATTTTCCAGTTTAATTGCGCAGTTTAGTGCAATCTGTATTACTTTAGAAGATTTGACGCATAGTTAATGCGTGAAAGGAAGTCCAAATTTTTTGACATCTGTTTGTTATGGAAACTAACGAGCTGCTCAATTTCCACGCAGTGAAGATATCAAGATTTAATTTTTTTGATTTTTATTAAAAACTTGGAACGGAATTTATAGGAGATGCGTAATATTAATCAGCAGAAATTACAACGCAAACATACATAATTAAAAAAGGATGGTGAACTTTCTTTGTCCGCTCAAAAAAAGGCATGCACAGTAGTTACTTAACAGTTCACTTGACCTAACAAAAATGGCACTTCCATCAGAGAGCACATCGCATTATCTTTTTAGGCCAAAGGTTATGTTTCATATTTAGAGATAGGTCATGCCAACTATTTTAGAAAGGTAGAAGATGTTTATAACTTCCTTCAAGAAATTTTCGCTGATATAGAAAAGTTCGAGCCAGCATGAGTGCATCTTATTGTTATACCACTTCATGTAGAAAGCTATTACTTACAAACGATGTCATGAAATA